GATTATGATTGCTCGATTAATTATCACCCAGGGAAAGCTAATGTGGTAGCCGATTTCTAAGTCGTAAAGTACAAGTGGCAAGATTGATGATTAAAGAATTGCACTTGTTAGAAGAGGTTAGTATATGGAACCCTCGTCTTGAACCAAGAAAGGTGATCTTTGGAAACATTGTCGTGAAATCTACTTTGCTAGATCGTATCAAGGAGGCACAAAAGAAGGATTCATAAGTACAAAGGTGGTTGAAGAAAGTTAAAAAGGGGGAAAAGTCAGATTTTAATTTGGGAATAAATGGTGTACTATGGTTTCAAAATCGCATAGTAGTGTCAAAGGATGAAGGGCTAAAAAGGGAAATCTTAGAAGAAACTCATCGTTCTAGGTATACAGTACATCCTGAAGGAAATAAAATGTACTAAAACTTGAAGAGCTTGTATTGGTGGGAGAATATGAAGAAGGAAATTGCTCGATTTGTCCAGACAAGTCTGATTTGCCAGCAGGTTAAAGTCGAGCATCAGAAACCATCTGGCCTATTGCAATCTTTGGAGACACCCGAGTGAAAATGGGAGAATATTACCATGGATTTTGTATCTGGATTACCAAGGACACAAAGAGGTCACGATGCCATTTGGGCGATAGTAGATAGATTGACCAAATCTGCTCATTTTCTGCCGATTAATATGAAGTACTCACTGGAGAAATTAGCTAAACTATATTTGGATGAAATTATAAGGCTAAATGGGATACCAGTAAGTATTGTGTCCGATCGAGACCCTCGGTTTGTTTCTCGGTTCTGGCAGAAGATGCAAGATATGCTAGGAACTAAATTGAGTTTTAACACTACCTACCACCCACAGACTGATGGACAGTCAGAGAGGACAATTCAGACCCTCGAGGACATGTTGAGATCAAGTATTTTGGATTTCGGAGAGAGTTGGAGTAAGTACTTAACATTGGTGGAGTTTGCTTATAATAATAGCTTCCATTCATCCATTCAAATGGCTCCTTATAAGGCTCTTTATGGCCAGAAGTGTAGATCTCCAATTTGTTGGGATGAAATAGGTGAAAGAAAGATCTTAGACCTAACTGCGGTACCATGGATTGAGGAGGTTTACGAAAAGGTGAAGTTGATACGTGAAAGGATTCAATCAGCTCAGAGCCGCCAAAAGAGTTATGCAGATAATCGAAGGAAGGATTTGGAGTTTGCGGTTGGAGATCAATTTTTTTTAAGATCACTCCTCTAAAAGCAAGTTTGATGGCAGGAAGAGGAAAGCAAGTTACAACGAAGATTTGTAGGACCTTATAAGATTCTCCAACGTGTAGGAAACGGGGCCTATAAGTTAGAACTACCACCGAGTTTGTCTCGAATCCATATTGTTTTTCATGTATCTATGCTCAAGAAGTATCATCCAGATCCCTCCCATGTACTACAACCAAAAAAATATTGAGATTGACGGGGCACTAATGTATGAGGAGAAAGCAATGAAGCTTCTGGATCGTAAGGTAAAGGAACTAAGGAATAAGTAAATTCCTTTGGTAAAAGTTCTATGGAGGAATCATGGAATAGTGGAAACAACTTGGGAGGTAGAAGAAGAGATTCAAGAGAAATATCCAGACCTATTTCCGAATCAAGGTATGAATTTCGTGGACAAAATTCTTTTAAGGGGGAGAGGATGTGAGAACTCATGTTTTTATTCTTAATTTAGCCTATTTTAAAATTATTTACATTGGTATTATTTAATTTTATTAGTTTAGCGTGAATTTTACTTAAATTATACTTTTATCGCTTACGCATCAAAATTTTTCAAAAAAGTCGTGTCGGTATGACTAATCGGAGATTTGGAGAATTAATTTTAGACTAGCAAGAATGGGTAATTGTAGTGCTAGAGGAACTACCTTAGAGGATTAGTATTTAAGTGTAGCAAACCATAAGGAATTGGTAGTACATATCAATATGACCCCACTAGTCAAAGTTGACTCTCTCACCTAACCAAAAGCTACCCTTCTTCTTACCTTTCCACCACAAATCAAAACATCAACTCCCTCACTCTCTCTCTCTACTTGGCCGAAATTTGGAGCTCAAAAGGAGGAAGGAAAAGCTTCAACCTTTGGCCTTAATCTTGCTCAAAGATCCACACCCAACCCTCAAGACCTTTGGATATTGCTCTAGCTAGAGAAAAGTTGCAATCTTGTGGTGGGTTTGGTGGATTGTTGGTGAAAACCTTGGCTCTACCTAGGGTTCAAGAAAGCCTTCAAGAGGTAACAAACTTTACTCCCTTTGATCTTTAATTTTTCAAGGATTAGTAATGGGTAGTGGTTGTTGCATGGATTTGGAAACCCTACCAAAACCTAAGCTAGAGGACTTGAGGAAAACCCCTGTTTCTTGTTTTATATCCAAGGTAGTGGCCTTGAAGTGAACTTTTAGGTAGAGGACTTGAGGATTCTTGCTTGTTTGATTGTATTCTTGTGGATTATAGTTTGGTTGTTGGCTTGAAAGTTGGAAAGAAACTTGAAGGTGAAGGGGAAAGGGCTGCCAAATTTTTCTGAGTTATTTCTTGATTTAATTTCAAAATTTGTTGCTCAAATGGCTGCAAAAATGCTTGCTATACGTTGTGTTGTGTGGGTAAAAATTATCTCTCAAAAATTGTTTCAATTAGTTGGGTAAAACTTGAGTTTTGAGAAAAGAAAGAAAACTGGAAAAGTTGCCCAGGCCAACCGACTAGGGGCTCTTTGACTGCTCATAAATCTTTGTACAAATGTCAAAATCAAGTGCTATTTGTGGTATTTGAAACCAGACACCAAGAGCTTTCCAACGGTATAAACTTCCCCTGCTAATTCGTTTTGAGTGAGCCGTACCGAATCGGTAAAGTGGACTGACCTATTTTACCTGGTTGTTCGAGAGAAACTGTGTAGCTACATCTTGTTGTCTCAATTTCATCCCTCTTGTGAAAGGAGTTTGGAAATGATGTCTTCTGATGATTTGAAGAATTTTGAATCTAGTTTTTAACGCCATAAACCATTCTTAATTTGGACTTGTGTAGAGTTAGATATGGTCTGATTTCAAAACCGTGTCAAAACTGGTAACTGGAAAATTGTTGAACAGGTTGTGAAATCCAACCATCTTCAAACTGTTGTATCTTGCGGTTCAAAAAATTTTGAATTTAGTTCCGCTTGTTGTGTTTGAAACCTCACTTGAAATTCTTGCTGTGTTGTAAATTTCAGAGGTTAATTCAATACCTGCGAATTTTGCCAAATTTTCAAACTTTGCTGAAAAACAAGAACTGGTTCTGCCCTGTCTTCATGAAACAGTAACTTTGAGTTGAAATTCGAATGATTTCTGGTTGGAATCTGGGAAAAGTGTCTTCGGAAAAGTTTTAGTACTTTGAATCTAGTTTCCAACGGTATAAAGTTTCTCATTTTTGGAATTGCCAAACTCGAGATATGATTTTCCAAGTATTGTCGCGTAAAGCTGAAAATTTCTGATTTCTTAAGAAATAAACTTTTAAGAACTCCCAATTTCCTTTTGAGATTGTTAGTCCATTTTAAACTTGATTTCATGGATGATACAAGTTTCCCTTGTGACTTTAAATCCACATTTTTGAATCTCGATTTTCGATAAATTAAAACTCTTTTAAGGCATTGTTTAAGTTTTAAGCAAGTGCATTTTCTTCCTTGAATGTTAAGCGGTCTAGAGTATATGTGAGTGATGGTTGGTCACTATTTTTTCAGGTGCTCAAGAGGGTTTTGAAAGGAATCCCGGTGCGGACAACTAAAGGACTTTATTTACTCACTTGCTTTTGAATTGGTGAGTGTCAAATGCATGAATTGTGGCTAAATACTTGAATTGTTTCTTGTTAATTAAGTGATTTGGACTTGTCGAGACGAGTGTGCACTTTATCGCACTCGTTCTCTTTTACATGACTAGATAATTGACTTGCATGAATGTGATTTGACAATTGAATCGCGTGAACTTGGCAAATTGTACTGTACACCTGGGGATGCCTAAAACTTATTGGCTAATCTTGTGACTCGAGCAGGCATGGGTTTGGTCGAGAAACCTGGTGAACCATGAGAAAATTTTAAGTTTGACCTTTTGAGGTCTTACTTGGCATACTCGAGTAGTATTGCCCTTCCAGTGAGTGTTTGGTTACGCATCCGAGAGGGAGAAATGATGGATGGAGGAAGTAAGCGGGGTTTCTACGGACTTGCTACCTACCCAGTTGACAGAGTGTCATCACGTGGAGGTATTGGATCAAGCCTTGGCAAAGCAATGGAAATTTAGCTCCTAAGAGCTCCCGTATCCTTATTGATTGTGCTTTACTGTTATTTGTGAATTACATGAACTTTCTAGCTATATTTTTTGTGCAAGTGTTATTGTTACTTGAACTTATGTGTTTGCATGCTTTTCTTGGTCTCACTGAGCGTTAACTCACCCCCGTAGTTTGTTTTCCTTAACAGGGGCTTGGAATAAAAGATTTTTGGAGAAGCTGATTTGATTACGTTTTGATTAGAATTTGGATGTAAATGGTTTACTCAACTTTGGATAGTTGTAAATGGTTTATTCAACTTTGGATGTAAATGGTTTACTCAACTTAAATTTGGATGTAATCGGGGTGATACTTGTTCAAAGGCCATTGTATTTTGCTTAACTGTGCTACCTACCTTTTGAAGCACTTGAATGTTACTTATGATGTACTTGATTTTGTTGCTCTCTGACTTCTAATCTATGCCTTGGGTTGTACTTATTTGCACTTATTTTGATGTTTCCCTTATTTATTTTTCGTCTTGCATGATTAAAGCGCCATTTTACTTCGCTTATGCATATTATTTTGCATCTATACCTTTAGAAAATTACTAAGACTATGGACGGCTGAAGAAGTGGAAGGGGCCAAGGGCGTGGGGTTAGGCAACCCCAAGCTCAAAGAGATTATCAAGGATCGGCAACTGGACCGAGCTAAGGGCAAGTAAACGAAGGGGATAACCAAGTAGCTACTGCTATCGACCGTATGACCGATATCTTAGAACGGTTAGCAGAGCATCAAGGTCCAGGACCTGTTAATCAGCCTGGGGCTCAGGAGAGAGGGGAGAATAGAGCCTTGGAGCGATTTTTGAAGTTTGCCCCGCCTAAGTTTCTTGGGGGATCTGATCCCGAAATAGAGGAGAATTGGCTGGAGAGAGTGACTAACGTCTTTACCGCGTTAGACTACACTGAGGAGAGACGAGTGAATTTCACTGTCTTTCAATTTGAGGGTGCGGCATGTGCTTGGTGGAACGTGATTAAGGGAAAATGGAAAATAGCACAGACCCCTTAGACCTGAAAAAATTTTGTGAGAGAGTTTAATGAGAAGTTTCTTCCACCCATGATTCAAGAGAAAAGGGAGGATGAATTTATAATGTTGAGACAGGGGACTTCTAGCATGGCTGACTATGAAGAGCGATTTATTAAATTTTCTAGGTTTGCTCCAGAGTTAGTGGTCACTGAGAGGAAAAGAATAAGGTGATTCGTGCAAGGGTTTAATGTGGAGATTCAAGAGGGGTTGGCAGCAGTCCAAATCTCTACTTTCACTGAGACCCTAGAGAAAGCGCAACGAGTTGAGAGTGCAAAGTTGCAAGTTAGAGATTTTCATGCCAAGAAAATGGGCGCTCCTAGTAACCCTCCTAGATAAGCATATAAGGATGCTCCACTCCTAAAATGGGAAGAAGAGCGGGAGAAGTAAGAACTGCTAGAGCACCAAGAGGGGCTTTATCAAGAAGAGGCCGCAATGGGAAAGGTCAAGTGAGAGGACCCCTTCTGGTGGTCAGGCCGTGACTCCTCAAGTTGGTTGTGGCTACTGTGGCAAGTCCAACCATGCAGAGAATGAGTGCTAGAAGAAATTGGGGAAGTGTCTGTATTGTGGAAGTACCGAGCACCAGATCTCAAAGTGCCCAAGTATACCAAAGGATAGAGGTAGTACTCAAAGGCCAAAGAAGTCGGCATCTAAGCAGTCTAGTATTGGAAGGAGTCGACCTAAGATACCGGTTAGGGTTTATGCGTTGGACCATCAACAGATTCCTGAGTCCACTAAGGTAGTTGAAGGTACGATTCCTATCTTCCACTGTTTAGCTAAGGTTTTAATTGACCCCAGTGCAACACATTCTTTTGTAAACCCTAAATTCATGAGTGGGATAGACGTGAAAATTAAATTACCCTATGATTTGGAGGTTAGAATGCCTACTGGAGATCAAAGTTTAATTGCTAATTTGGTGTATAGAAATTGCGAGATATGGGTTGGAGAGCGAAAATTATTGGCCGATTTGATGAGTTTAGCTATTAAGGAGTATGATGTCATCCTAGGTATGGATTGGTTAGCTCGCTACCATGCTCAATTGAATTGTAAGGCGAAAACAGTAGAGTTATGTATTCCAGGTGAGACAACCTTAAAATTGAATGTAAGGGGTAGACTAGCCTCATCTGTCCTTATTTCAGGAATTCCAACTAGAAAAATGTTGAGTAAGGGAGGTCAAGGATATTTAGCTTTTCTTATCAATACTCCTAGTGATAAGGTGAGGTTGGAGGATGTGCCAGTGGTAAGGGACTATCCAGATATTTTTCCTGAGAAACTAGTCTTTGCCACCAGAAAGAGAGGTAGCATTTAAAATTGATGTGACTCTAAGAGTAGCACCTATTTTTAAGACACCTTATAGAATGGCTCAGGCTGAATTGAAAGAACTGAAGTTGCAATTACAGAATTTACTAGAACGAGACTTTATAAGAGAAAGTGATTCTCCATGGGGAGCTCCAGTGTTGTTTGTTAAAAAGAAAGATGGAGCTTAAAATTGTGTATAGACTACCGAGACTTGAATGATGTCACCATTAGAAACAAGTACCCTTTATCCCACATTGATGAATTGTTTGACCAATTGCAAGGGGGAGTAGTATTCTCAAAGTTAGATCTCAGGCAGGGTTATTATCAGTTGAGGATTTTGGAAAAAGATATACCTAAAACTGCCTTTAATTTGAGGTACGGGCACTTTGAGTTTGTAGTGATGCCATTTGGGTTAACTAATGCTCCTGCAGCTTTTATGGACTTAATGCATCGAAACTTTAAACCCTATTTAGATCAATTTATGGTGGTGTTCATTGACGATATACTGGTATACTCTAAAACTTTGGAGGATTATCCTGCAAACCTTGAGAGAACATCAACTGTATGCTAAATTCAGTAAATGTGAATTTTGGTTGAAGGAAGTAACTTTTTTAGGTCATATAATTTCTAATGAAGGAATTAAGATGGATCCGACCAAAGTTGAAGCAGTTTCTAAGTGGAAGCAATCGAAAAATCCAACTGAAGTTCGAAGTTTCTTAGGGTTAGCGGGGTATTACCGGAGATTCATCAAAGATTTTTCTAAGATTGCGGGACCCCTGACTGAGTTGACTAAGAAAAGTGAAAAGTTTATATGGAGGTCTAAGTGTGAAGAAAGTTTTCAGGAGTTAAAGAAACGTTTAACAAGGGCACCTGTCTTAGCTTTATCTAATGGAAAAGATAGTTTTGTGATCTACATAGATGCTTCAAAAGAAGGCTTGGGGTGTATTGATGCAGAATGATAAAGTGATTGCATATGTCTCTAGAAAGTTAAAACCTCGTGAGAGAAATTACCTAACTCATGATCTAGAGTTAGCGCGGCAGTAGTGTTTGCATTGAAGAAATGGAGGCATTACTTATATGGGGTGACGTTTGAGGTTTTTACAGATCACAAGAGCCTTAAGTACTTGTTTTTTGAAAAAGAATTGAACTTGAGACAGTGTAGATGGGTGGACTTTTTAGAGGATTATGATTGCTCGATTAATTATCACCCAGGGAAAGCTAATGTGGTAGCCGATTTCTAAGTCGTAAAGTACAAGTGGCAAGATTGATGATTAAAGAATTGCACTTGTTAGAAGAGGTTAGTATATGGAACCCTCGTCTTGAACCAAGAAAGGTGATCTTTGGAAACATTGTCGTGAAATCTACTTTGCTAGATCGTATCAAGGAGGCACAAAAGAAGGATTCATAAGTACAAAGGTGGTTGAAGAAAGTTAAAAAGGGGGAAAAGTCAGATTTTAATTTGGGAATAAATGGTGTACTATGGTTTCAAAATCGCATAGTAGTGTCAAAGGATGAAGGGCTAAAAAGGGAAATCTTAGAAGAAACTCATCGTTCTAGGTATACAGTACATCCTGAAGGAAATAAAATGTACTAAACTTGAAGAGCTTGTATTGGTGGGAGAATATGAAGAAGGAAATTGCTCGATTTGTCCAGACAAGTCTGATTTGCCAGCAGGTTAAAGTCGAGCATCAGAAACCATTGGCCTATTGCAATCTTTGGAGACACCCGAGTGAAAATGGGAGAATATTACCATGGATTTTGTATCTGGATTACCAAGGACACAAAGAGGTCACGATGCCATTTGGGCGATAGTAGATAGATTGACCAAATCTGCTCATTTTCTGCCGATTAATATGAAGTACTCACTGGAGAAATTAGCTAAACTATATTTGGATGAAATTATAAGGCTAAATGGGATACCAGTAAGTATTGTGTCCGATCGAGACCCTCGGTTTGTTTCTCGTTCTGGTAGAAGATGCAAGATATGCTAGGAACTAAATTGAGTTTTAACACTACCTACCACCCACAGACTGATGGACAGTCAGAGAGGACAATTCAGACCCTCGAGGACATGTTGAGATCAAGTATTTTGGATTTCGGAGAGAGTTGGAGTAAGTACTTAACATTGGTGGAGTTTGCTTATAATAATAGCTTCCATTCATCCATTCAAATGGCTCCTTATAAGGCTCTTTATGGCCAGAAGTGTAGATCTCCAATTTGTTGGGATGAAATAGGTGAAAGAAAGATCTTAGACCTAACTGCGGTACCATGGATTGAGGAGGTTTACGAAAAGGTGAAGTTGATACGTGAAAGGATTCAATCAGCTCAGAGCCGCCAAAAGAGTTATGCAGATAATCGAAGGAAGGATTTGGAGTTTGCGGTTGGAGATCAATTTTTTTTAAGATCACTCCTCTAAAAGCAAGTTTGATGGCAGGAAGAGGAAAGCAAGTTACAACGAAGATTTGTAGGACCTTATAAGATTCTCCAACGTGTAGGAAACGGGGCCTATAAGTTAGAACTACCACCGAGTTTGTCTCGAATCCATATTGTTTTTCATGTATCTATGCTCAAGAAGTATCATCCAGATCCCTCCCATGTACTACAACCAAAAAAATATTGAGATTGACGGGGCACTAATGTATGAGGAGAAAGCAATGAAGCTTCTGGATCGTAAGGTAAAGGAACTAAGGAATAAGTAAATTCCTTTGGTAAAAGTTCTATGGAGGAATCATGGAATAGTGGAAACAACTTGGGAGGTAGAAGAAGAGATTCAAGAGAAATATCCAGACCTATTTCCGAATCAAGGTATGAATTTCGTGGACAAAATTCTTTTAAGGGGGAGAGGATGTGAGAACTCATGTTTTTATTCTTAATTTAGCCTATTTTAAAATTATTTACATTGGTATTATTTAATTTTATTAGTTTAGCGTGAATTTTACTTAAATTATACTTTTATCGCTTACGCATCAAAATTTTTCAAAAAAGTCGTGTCGGTATGACTAATCGGAGATTTGGAGAATTAATTTTAGACTAGCAAGAATGGGTAATTGTAGTGCTAGAGGAACTACCTTAGAGGATTAGTATTTAAGTGTAGCAAACCATAAGGAATTGGTAGTACATATCAATATGACCCCACTAGTCAAAGTTGACTCTCTCACCTAACCAAAAGCTACCCTTCTTCTTACCTTTCCACCACAAATCAAAACATCAACTCCCTCACTCTCTCTCTCTACTTGGCCGAAATTTGGAGCTCAAAAGGAGGAAGGAAAAGCTTCAACCTTTGGCCTTAATCTTGCTCAAAGATCCACACCCAACCCTCAAGACCTTTGGATATTGCTCTAGCTAGAGAAAAGTTGCAATCTTGTGGTGGGTTTGGTGGATTGTTGGTGAAAAACCTTGGCTCTACCTAGGGTTCAAGAAAGCCTTCAAGAGGTAACAAACTTTACTCCCTTTGATCTTTAATTTTTCAAGATTAGTAATGGGTAGTGGTTGTTGCATGGATTTGGAAACCCTACCCAAAACCTAAGCTAGAGGACTTGAGGAAAACCCCTGTTTCTTGTTTTATATCCAAGGTAGTGGCCTTGAAGTGAACTTTTAGGTAGAGGACTTGAGGATTCTTGCTTGTTTGATTGTATTCTTGTGGATTATAGTTTGGTTGTTGGCTTGAAAGTTGGAAAGAACTTGAAGGTGAAGGGGAAAGGGCTGCCAAAATTTTCTGAGTTATTTCCTTGATTTAATTTCAAAATTTGTTGCTCAAATGGCTGCAAAAATGCTTGCTATACGTTGTGTTGTGTGGGTAAAAATTATCTCTCAAAATTGTTTCAATTAGTTGGGTAAAACTTGAGTTTTGAGAAAGAAAGAAAACTGGAAAAGTTGCCCAGGCCAACCGACTAGGGGCTCTTTGACTGCTCATAAATCTTTGTACAAATGTCAAAATCAAGTGCTATTTGTGGTATTTGAAACCAGACACCAAGAGCTTTCCAACGGTAAACTTCCCCTGCTAATTCGTTTTGAGTGAGCCGTACCGAATCGGTAAAGTGGACTGACCTATTTTACCTGGTTGTTCGAGAGAAACTGTGTAGCTACATCTTGTTGTCTCAATTTCATCCCTCTTGTGAAAGGAGTTTGGAAATGATGTCTTCTGATGATTTGAAGAATTTTGAATCTAGTTTTTAACGCCATAAACCATTCTTAATTTGGACTTGTGTAGAGTTAGATATGGTCTGATTTCAAAACCGTGTCAAAACTGGTAACTGGAAAATTGTTGAACAGGTTGTGAAATCCAACCATCTTCAAACTGTTGTATCTTGCGGTTCAAAAAATTTGAATTTAGTTCCGCTTGTTGTGTTTGAAACCTCACTTGAAATTCTTGCTGTGTTGTAAATTTCAGAGGTTAATTCAATACCTGCGAATTTTGCCAAATTTTCAAACTTTGCTGAAAAACAAGAACTGGTTCTGCCCTGTCTTCATGAAACAGTAACTTTGAGTTGAAATTCGAATGATTTCTGGTTGGAATCTGGGAAAAGTGTCTTCGGAAAAGTTTAGTACTTTGAATCTAGTTTCCAACGGTATAAAGTTTCTCATTTTTGAATTGCCAAACTCGAGATATGATTTTCCAAGTATTGTCGCGTAAAGCTGAAAATTTCTGATTTCTTAAGAAATAAACTTTTAAGAACTCCCAATTTCCTTTTGAGATTGTTAGTCCATTTTAAACTTGATTTCATGGATGATACAAGTTTCCCTTGTGACTTTAAATCCACATTTTTGAATCTCGATTTCGATAAATTAAAACTCTTTTAAGGCATTGTTTAAGTTTTAAGCAAGTGCATTTTTTCCTTGAATGTTAAGCGGTCTAGAGTATATGTGAGTGATGGTTGGTCACTATTTTTTCAGGTGCTCAAGAGGGTTTTGAAAGGAATCCCGGTGCGGACAACTAAAGGACTTTATTTACTCACTTGCTTTTGAATTGGTGAGTGTCAAATGCATGAATTGTGGCTAAATACTTGAATTGTGTTTCTTGTTAATTAAGTGATTTGGACTTGTCGAGACGAGTGTGCACTTTATCGCACTCGTTCTCTTTTACATGACTAGATAATTGACTTGCATGAATGTGATTTGACAATTGAATCGCGTGAACTTGGCAAATTGTACTGTACACCTGGGGATGCCTAAAACTTATTGGCTAATCTTGTGACTCGAGCAGGCATGGGTTTGGTCGAGAAACCTGGTGAACCATGAGAAAATTTTAAGTTTGACCTTTTGAGGTCTTACTTGGCATACTCGAGTAGTATTGCCCTTCCAGTGAGTGTTTGGTTACGCATCCGAGAGGGAGAAATGATGGATGGAGGAAGTAAGCGGGGTTTCTACGGACTTGCTACCTACCCAGTTGACAGAGTGTCATCACGTGGAGGTATTGGATCAAGCCTTGGCAAAGCAATGGAAATTTAGCTCCTAAGAGCTCCCGTATCCTGATTGATTGTGCTTTACTGTTATTTGTGAATTACATGAACTTTCTAGCTATATTTTTTGTGCAAGTGTTATTGTTACTTGAACTTATGTGTTTGCATGCTT